CCTGAGGGGATGGGGGTGGGGAAAGGGACCAAAAAAAAAGCAATGTTCTGTATGAAAAACTATAATCATTTTAATTCAATATTGACACCCCACATCTCGCAATAATGCGGACGGTTCCAATCGAAACCTCTGTTTTATAGCAGTAGAGGAAGGAACTCGTAAAATCCTAACAGCTTTTATGTAGTGCGGTATAAACAACAACAACATCCTGGTCTTTATGGCGCTTTATAGTTTGTTAAACAGTTTACAGCCTTTTTTGGGGGCTATTACAAACGCAATTCCCTTCATGCGATAGTTAAACCTTTATCAATAATAAGGAAATTGATCATTAAAATGTTAAATATGACTACCTCGTTTGTTTTAAAATATGTTTAGGATAAGAAGCTGTATGATTTGATAACTTGTATTAAAATACCAATTACATTTATAGGACCTTTTAAAACTGGTAGCAATTAAATCGTGTTCTTTTACAGTTTTCCAAAGCGACCCTGACATTTAAAAAGGCTAAAACTGCCTCGTTAAAATTTTGAAATTAACGACTAAGAGCGCCTCTCTTTCATTTTCCAACACTCCCCAAAAATCAATCTTTTGGGTGGTCTAGGTATTTGATTTGTTGTGAGGCGAGAGATATCTCATTAATGTAGGTAGTTAAACATATTTAATCCGTATATTCACCCCACCTCTCTCTCTCTCTCTCTCGCTCTCTCGCTCTCTCGCTCTCTGTCGCTCTCTCTCCCTCCCTCTCTCTCTCTCTCGCTTTTCCTTCTTTATTCTCTCACACTCTTCCTTTCAGAATCATGCAGTGCAGAGTCCGTGTGGAGTAAGGAGAAGCCAATAGGATGAGGTTTTGGTAATAGATGCAAATGATCATGAAAAGACACTGCAAAATATGAAACAACTCATTTGCGCCGAAGTAAATCACTGAAAACTGTTTATGAACTGGCACCTCTTCTTGGAAATGTAAAACGAGAACTCTTTAAGTGGCGATTTTTTTTAGGGGGGGGGGAAAGGCAAGCATTCAGTATCATGCAGGCTTAGAGTTTTGATTATATCCTCCTTTTATATTCCTGGAAATCACAAACTGTTGTTGCTTAGCATCTTAGCTCTTTCTTTGCTAATAGATTCCCGTGGTTGAAAAAAAAAATAGATTATATATTTAAATTAAAATGAGCTCTTATTTTGTCAACTCACTCTTCTCCAAATACAAAACCGGGGACTCCTTGCGTCCCAACTACTATGACTGTGGCTTTGCTCAGGATCTGGGAGGCAGACCCACAGTTGTGTATGGACCTAGCACGGGTGGTACCTTCCAGCATCCGACCCAAATTCAGGAGTTTTACCACGGAGCATCCTCGCTCTCCAGCTCCCCTTACCAACAGAATCCCTGCGCGGTCGCGTGCCATGGGGATCCAAGCAACTTCTATGGATACGACCCATTGCAAAGGCAGAGCCTGTTCAGTGCCCAGGAGTCGGACTTGGTGCAGTACACGGATTGCAAGCTTGCTTCCAGCGGCCTTGGGGAGGAGGCGGAGAACTCGGAGCAGAGCCCCTCTCCGACACAGCTCTTCCCCTGGATGCGACCGCAAGGTGAGGCGAGATAGAAAGGGCAGAGAGGAGGCATTTCCTGAATCCATAAAGTATCCCCTTTCCACTGTTACTTTTTACTGCTTTATGGGGGTAAACTTTTGCACTTGTAAATTGCTTTATAGTTTAATTACCCTGAAGGAGACCTTTTCTTCTCGGTGTGGCGAGCTGGGCTTTCAGCGAGCGGAGCTTCCCCAAACTTTATTGCACTTTTATAGCCTCCAAAAAAAGAGAGAGAGAAAGAGAGAGAAAGCTCCTGCAGTTGGTTTTTTTGTGGGGTTTTGTTGTGGCCGGGCCGGATGGTACCTTCCTTTTGTGTGTTGGATACAAAGTAGTTGGGTTTTTTTCTCTCTGGTGGGTTTTTTTTTGTGCCGTTCCCCTCCTTTTCGCTAGCTCGGGTGTAAATTCTCCCCTCTTCCCCCCTCCTCCCCCCCCATTATTTCTCCCCTTTGTAAGAGCCGTTCCGGCTCTGTGTGCGCTTCCTGCCTTGGCTTCTGTGTTCTCCCTGCACCCCCCTTCCTCTGTGTGTGTGTCTGTATTCCCGAGCCTGGTTTATGTACGTCTCAACCTCCTTCTCTTCTTCCCCCAACCTTTGCGATCCCCCAGCAGCCGCTGGACGCAGGAGGGGCCGGCAGACTTACAGCCGCTACCAGACCCTGGAACTAGAGAAAGAATTTCTGTTTAATCCCTACCTGACCCGCAAACGGCGGATCGAGGTGTCTCACGCCCTGGGACTGACAGAAAGGCAGGTCAAAATCTGGTTCCAGAACAGGAGGATGAAATGGAAAAAGGAAAACAACAAAGACAAGTTTCCCAGCAGCAAATGCGAGCAGGAAGAACTGGAAAAACAGAAAATGGAAAGAGCCGCCGAGGTGGACGAGGAGGTGGAAGGACAGAAGGGGGACAAAAAATAGGATTTTTGAGAACTGAAAGGCAAGCACTGATGGTTTGATGAGATCCTGACTCTTACATTAATGGCAGTTAATGTAAGGGGGGTGGGGGGCAGGAAAAAAAACAATGCATAGAAAAGAGAAAAAGAAACCCTTTTATTGCTGTAAAACAATATAGCTGTAAGCACCCACTTTTCCTGATTGTCCTTTGATACAATGAACAGTATGCAAAAGAGATCGGAGGTCTTTCTAGCCTTTTGCCAGTTATTAACTAGTGGTAGTGTAATGCAATAGCTTATGTAAAACATGACTGTGAAATTCTCTCCTCTCTCTCTCTCTCTCTCTCTCTCTTCTTCTCCCCCCCCTCCCCCCCTTTTTTTGGGGGGGGGGGGTGTTGGTTAACACTGCTTTCAATGCTATAGGAGTTATGTGAATTACATTGTGCACTTTTTTAATTTTCCTCCTTTATGTTGTGCTTAACTGTATGTACTGGAGGTAGCTATTGAAACAGACATCCCAACAACATGAAACTGCCTATTTATGCTGTAGTTATCTCTCTCTCTCTCTTCTCTCTCTCTCCCTCTCTCTCTCGCTCTCTCTCTTTCTGTTCCCTCCTTCTGTTCTTTTGTTCGGTTGGGTTTTTTTCCTTTGGTTCTGTTTTGTTTACAATTTTAAGTGTCTCCTCCAAAAGCGTTTTTTTTTCTCGACTTTAGATAGCATGCGCACAGTGGAGCAAGTTGTAAAGTGATCCTTAGGTTAACTGTGAAAAAAAAAAGAATGTATACTGTATACGTGAATTACTTTATGGGGGAACTAATGATATATTTTGTTGTTCTTTCATCACTTTGTTCTATTGTCTAAACCTGGAAGCGGCGGAAGAAAGTTACAATAAAGTTTACAAGCGAGAATCCCGTGACATCATTCTTTCACCGGGCTTCCTCTCCTCCAGGAGCACTTTGATAGAAAGGGAATAAAAGTCAATTGTGTCACAATCGCAAAGCTGGCCATCAAAGGAGAGTTGGCCCTGCAGAGATCCTGGAGAGTTTAGATTGCTCTGAAGGAGCTGTGGAGGAGTCTGTGGTGCAGGCAAGCCAGTTGGAGGAGGGGGGGCTGGGGGGGGCAAAACAAGCAGGGGTTGTGTTGTTGTTGATTGTGTTGTTGATGTTGTTGCTGCTGCTGCTGGTGACAGTCGAGGTGGTGTGGAAATCCTCCCTGCAGGTCATCCTCTGCCTCTGCATGCTTCTTCCAAGGGACACCCAGCACCCCCCGGATCTGAGCCCCCGCTCTCTGTGGAGGATGGTCAGCAGCGCATGGTATGGCTGTCACGCTCCCCCTTTCGCTGCCTATTGATCTCCTCCACCAGGGCAATACGAAAGGGTGCATCTCTCTCTCTCTCTCTTTCTCTCTCTCTCTCTCCCTTGCAATATAACCTTGGGAAGGAGGAACGATGCCACTCTTAGATGCAGATCAATCATGATCGCCTCATTTTTCAGTAAGGCTTTTAATTTTTTC